ATGATAAAAAAAGCATCTGGTATTGTATTAAACAGTGACTAGAGTAAGTAACAATACACTGTATAGCTGAAAAATGTTAAGAGGAGTGTGGTGAGGTGTTCTCACCACAAAAAATAAGGTACGGGAGGTAATATTATGTTAATTACCATAGCTTGATTTAGCCATAATACATACCCACATCAAGACATCATTTTGTATTATCTTGCTCAATAAAAGGATGAGAATAGGTTTAAAAAATCATTTTAGGAGGGCACGATGACTCATGCCTGTAATCCCATCATTCTGGGAGGCTGAGGTAGGTAGATCCCCTAAACTCATGGGTTTGAGACCAGCCTAAGCTAGAGTGAGATCCCGTTACTAAAAACATCCAGGCATTCTGGAGGGCACCAATAGTCCCAGCTACTTGGAAGGCTGAGGCAAGGGAATTGCTTAAACCCAAGAGTTTGAGGTTGCTGTGAGCTATGACATCACAACAATCTCCCTGGGGCGACAAAGTGAGACTCTGGCTCAAAAAAAGAAAGAAAGAAAAATTGAAAAATAATAAAGAAATTAAAAATCATTTTGTACACCATAAGTATGTACAATTTTATTTGTCACGTAAAACTTTTTTTAAAGTAATATGAAAAGTAGTTAGGAATCAGAGCATGGAATGCCTTTGAGACAAGGACTTTAACACATACTTGGTTAATAAAGTACAACGATGACATGAATGACACAATCTAGTTAATTGAGTTTGAGTCCCCGCTTATCTGTGGTTTCGTTTTCCAAGTTTCAATTACCCAGGGTCAACTGTGGTCTGAAAATAACAAATGGAAAATTCCAGAAACAATTTCTAAGTTTTAAAATGTGTGCCTTGCTGAATAATGTAATGAAATGTGTCATCCAGCTCCGAATGCTCATCAGTCCTTTAGCCAGTGTCCTGTTTGCTGCGTAGTAGCCACCTCAGTTGCCAGATTGAAAAAACACCATTGTACCCCTGTCCCTCAGTATCAGCGGTGGACTGGTTCCAGGATCCCTCAGGATACCAAAATCCACAGATGCTCAAATCCTAGATAGAAATGCTGTGGTGTTTGTACATAACCTACACACATCCTGCCATATATTTTAAATGACCTCTAGATTAATTTTAATACCTAATACAGGGCTAGGCACCATGACTTACGCCTATAATCCTAGTTCTTTGGGAGACTGAGGTGGGAGGATCACTTAAGACCAGCCTGAGCAGGAGGCCACCCTGTTTCTACAAAAAAACAGAAAAATTAGCAGAGCTTGGTGGTATGCATCTGTGGCCCTGACTACTCAGCAGGCTGAGCTAGGAGGATCACTGGTTTCCAGGAGTTTGAAGATGCAATGAGCTATGATCACACCACTGCACTCTAGCCCAGGAGACAGAGAAAGACCTTGTCTCAAAAAACAATAAATAAATAAATCTTAATACAACGTAAATGCCACATAAATAGTTGTTATACTGTATTTTTATTTATATTTTAATGTTGTTATTATTTTAACATTAGTATTTTCTCAACAAGGTTGGTTGAATCCAAGTATGGGGAAGCCACAGATATAGAAGGCCAAGTGTACAGGGTTTGGTACTACCTGGGGTTTCAGGCATTAGCGGGAGTTTGAGAACACATCCCTCACAGATCAGGGGGACTACAGTACACAAAGATTACTTGGTATAGAATGTTTCAAAGAGGTAGTCCACGGAAACCTTCAAATACTCCTATCTCCAAATATGCAATCAATTCCTCCATCCTCTACAATCTGGTTTTACCCCCACTGCCAACCACATTCTTCGACCCAGCCACACTGTCTCTTTACCCAACACCTTGTGACCGTCTTCGTGCCCAGGTGCTTCACTGAGCGAGATGTCTCAAGGGTGGCCCATCGCCTGCCAATGCTCTTCTGATTTCCCTGTGCCTCTCTCAGGTTAAATCCAGTGCTCTTTTGGAGGCTGACATCTGGTTCATCTCATGATTTCTCTGCCTACTCCAGCCTGCCTCTCCTCTCCTTCTTCTACAGTTCCTGCAGCTCCCATTTAGGATCGACAACACAAAATTTGACATCTAACTAGAATCTAGTTTTGTTCTTGACTCTGCAATCACAGACTATAAACTCTTAGACAGAAAAGACAACATCTTTCACTTATGTATCCCTGACAGCACCTACTGTCAGAGGACATACACTGGCTGACGGTTCCTGTTAATAACCAGAAATGCAATCACACCCTTGATCCAGCAACTGCATTTCTAAAAATTTTCCCTAATGACATACTCTCAAAAAAATGTAAAAATATTATGATGAAAGACATGCATCATAGATTGTAATAGTAAAAATCAGAAATAACACACATGTCTCTTATGAAGGACCAGTCAGAGTCTATACTGACCATGAAAAAAAAAATTGGGATATCTACATATATGGACCATAAAGCAGAAAGTGAAAAAAGCTGTAGAAAAGGGCATAAAATAGGTCCTATTTTTATTCATACACACAAACAAAATTTAGAACACATAAATTTTTTGAATGATAATCTCTGTGAAGTAGGATGGATAGTTATTTCTAGAAGACAGCTATTTCTGGAAGAGAGCATATAGGAAACATTCATCCTTGGGTAGAAAGCTGCTTTTCTTTAAATAACATGCATTTAACTTTAGTTATAAGACAATTAAAATTACTTTCTTTCTCTGGGCTAGTAATCACCATTGGAGAGATAAGTATTCTGGTCCACAATACTTTTCCTAGCAACTTCTTAATCTCTAGAGAATCACCACTATTGTTGCCTAGTTCACTATACCAAATCTGAGTAAGCGTTACAGATAAATCATACCAACAAATTAAACTCACAGGAGGTATTAACAGAAAAACCATTTCTCTGATAGAGTAAATATTAAATATCTGTTTCATGAACAGAGTCCTTCTAACAAAGCCTGGCATTGCATTATTTGCTCATAGTAACAGTTCTGGTTTTAAATATTTTATGCAGTTTTTAAATATCTTATATATAACCAGAGTCAACATAAACTTGCCTGAGGCTCTTGTTTCAAGGCCAAAGCTAGAGAGGGGATAGGAATCTCTGTATAGTTTTATCCATAGAAACAAAATGAAAAATCTATGAGAACCCCCCACAGGAGTACTGGATTCAGTCCTGATGGATCTGTACTTCATACAAAGTATCACATATCCTTAGCGTATCCCTACAGGCCTCCCTCCAGCATGTTTACACATGTTCTAACTTAAGCATTCAAGGCCTTCTCCACTAAGCCACTAATAAAAAGAGGAAGCAGAGCTATCTTTCCTCACGTGGTACTCCAAACCTTTTCCATTTCAGCATTGACCCTCAGATCCAACTGCCTGTTTCCCCCTCAGATGCACTGTTGAATACAACAGCGTATAGCTATTGAAGCTAAGTGCTTTACATGTATTTATTTATGCTTACAATACCCCTGTGATGTATTCCTATTTTATAGACACAGAAACTGAAATGCAAGGTCACATAAGTGGCAAATCTAGGATTTAAACCCAGAGACTTTTTTTTATTATTATTAAATCATAGCTGTGTACATTAAAGCAGTCATGGGGTACAATGTGCTGGTTTTATATACAATTTAAACCGAGAGATTTTAATTCCTCAATACAATCTTCACTATGAAGCATTTACTATCTGATATAGTTCTTTTAACCTAAAAACCACTAGAAATCTCAGACAGGAAAGCTTTTAACATTTTAGAAACAAATCTGAAAGTCAACAGGACATCTGAATCAACTCTTGGAAATACTGTTGGTCCCGCTACTACTGGGTAACTGAGAAGTATGAAACTTAATTTACAACGTGTTTGTTTTTGCCTATGCTTTGCTTAACCTTCGAAAAGCTGTTTACAGTAATAAACAGCTAACATCTGAATCAGGTAAAAGATAACTGGGCTCAGATTCTAGTTTTATCATTGTTTTTCTCCACCTGTAAAACAAGATATAAAGGTGTACATAAAGAACTTCAGCAAAGTGAATGACTACATAGTACAAAGTCATAGCACCTATAATTACTGCTAGCCTTTGACCAGCACCCTCAGGATGTGGAATAACTAACAAGCTAAAATCAAATTCAAAGTCAGTTGTGGTGGCTTATACTAGCTGCACTAGTCCCAGCTACTCAGAGAGGGGCGGTAGCAGGAGGATCATTTAATCCCAGGAGTTTGAGTCCAGCCTGAGCAACATACCAAGATCCCATCTCTAAAAATAATTTTTTTAAGTTAAAAAAAAAGAAGAAGCAAATTCAATACCTAAAACAAGACCCATGAGTGTGTTTATATAAAATACATGTAAACATTTAAAAATTACGCTGTTTAAACTTATAAAATCGTTAAACTAGAAATTGTATATAATGGAAACCCAATGAAAACTAATGGGTTAATTTAAAACGATTACCACCACAAAATTATCAAACAGAAGTCAGTAACTACACAAGAATGAATGTTACTGACAATTAGTCGGCCTCATAAAAACTCAATCATTCCATTCCATCTATTTCGTTCCGAAGTACAATAATTTCCTTAACTGAATATTATACCTCTGAAGCATTTTACATAACCACTCATCAATCTTTTACTGGGTAAGCTTGGGCCCTTTCAATGGATTAAAAATTCATCATGTAACAAGAACCGTGACTGTCCTTCATGTCCTTCCAGTCTAGTGTTCAGGGGTCGAGATTTGTTCCTACTGTTGCCTTAAGCGTACAGCTAACTTTGCAGGCAGCCTGCTTACTGGGCTCCAGGCTCCTCACAACTCTATATGGCAAGGACTAGTATTTATGCTCATTTTTTAGATGAGAAAACTAAGGCACAAGACAGGTGGAGTTAGTTATGGCTAGTACAGCAGTGGCTCCAGGGGCAGAAGCTAGACTGGAAACCAGTCTAGGTCTACAGTCCCGTCCTTTTAATCTCCTGACGCCTCTAGGAAGGGACCCGTCATTGACACTGTAAAACGTGGAAAAAATACAGTACCAGTGGGAAGCAGGGGCTCCAGCGGGGTAAAGGCACGCTCCATAGCGGATTACTGGCCTCTGCATTTAAAAAAAAAAAGCGAAATTAGAGTTTCTCAAATGTAATCAAACAACTAAACAAGCTTGGTGCACTGAGCTACATATGAATGGAGACCCCTGAGGCTGCGTGCTCCGGGGCACCCCCGGGAAAGCCGCTGCACTTGTCATGCCGGGCGGCCCCGGGAGGGGCGCGAGAGGAAGCCCCAGGGCAGGCTAGGACTTCAGTGGCCCCGCCAGCCTCGCCCCGCGCGTCCGTCACCATCCGGGGACCAGGGGAGCGAGGGAGTCGTCCCCTCCCGCGGCCCGCGCGCCGAGCGGCAGTGGCACTTACACAATGGCGGGTGGAGCCACGGCGAGGGCTGCGCAGGCGGTGGGAGCGACGGCGATCGACCGCTCGGCGCTCGGCTGAGGAGCCTGGGGCGGCGCGCGGCCCGCGGGAGCAGGGTCTGTCTCCAGGCCCCGCCCCCTTCCGGCTTCGTGGCCCTTGGTCGGGGCCGGGACTGCAGGGGCTGCGGCTCCGTGCCCAGATCTGCTGGCGAGCTAGGCTCTAGCTACGTCTGCCGAGCCCTCCACGCTCCGCGTTGGCAAGGAGGTGGCCATCTGCTCGAAACCAAGCCGCGAGTTCCCCTCCACCGTCTTACCTGGCTTGCGAGCCGAGCAGACTGAGTTTGCCACAGCCAGTCTCCTCGGTCCTCGTTCTCCTTGATCTCTCGCGTCCCTCCAGGGTCCTTCCTGAACGCTGCTTCCTTAAACGCTTTCCTTCCTTCGCTTTGTGGAAACAATCAGAATGTTTTCGATGGAAGAAACTTAAAGACGCCTCCTTTACTGAGCAAGCCTGGTGTGTGGGAAAGTTCTTAGATAAAATTACTCTGCAGGCACCTGCCAGTTCTCCTCCGTGGTAGTGTGAGGACCTAGAAGGCCAAACTAACTCCATTTTGTTAAATTTTATTTTTGCTGCCTAGTCGTTTTTTTCTCTTGCAGCTGCAAACTAAGACAGTTTAAACTTCCCCCTTTGCCCAGTGCTTACCCTATGACCCACCCTTACACAACATCTGCCCCGAGCAATAGCAACCCACACCCAGGCCAAACAGCTTAAGAAAAGTACTACCCTACCACCCAAAGCCCCCATCAACTTCCTCCAGTAACCCCCTCCCTTCTTTCTTTCTGTACCCCTTAAAACCTCCATCTTAAAGTCGGGGCTTCTCTGCTCTCCTGCTGCGCCAGGATCGGGAAGCCCAGGCCTGTAATAAACAAGCCTCTTGCTCTTTGCATCAGATTCGGTCTCAGAGTGATTTGGGGGGGATTCTGTGACTTAGGCATAACAGTAGAGGAGACAAAACTTCACCTTTACCCTCTCTGAGTTCCCCGCCTGGGGCTAAAACATTAAATTCACTTAAGACAGTTTATCCAGAAAAAAAGCAACAGGTTTTCTTATCTGTGTGGGAGTCGCCACAAGAAGTGACCTTATGAAGGTGCAAACCTAAATGCTTATATGCTAGTATTAGCTGTGACACATTCCAAAAGTCCACATTTACAAATGCCATTGATGAAGCTAATCGATCAAGTGGGTACAGGGAAATATTTGCACTTGTAAATCGTGCTGTCTTTACCTAAAAAGGACTATAAATCTGTCAGTAAAATGATAGCCAAATTATATCGGGTATTCAAGAACACATCAAACATACTTGAACAATGAGATAAATTTGATAGATTGCAAATGATTGTTAAATAATAAAAATTTACTGTGACTGATAAATTATTATTTACCAGCTACTGTGTCGAGAGTTTTTATATTTTATTACTCTAAGATGTAGGCTCCAAGAAAACAAGGACCAAAATTTAATTATTCATTTTTGAGCTGTCAACAGAAAAGATCCCAAACTCAGTAAAATAATTTAGAGGTTTATTCTGAAATGAGTATATGTGATTATGGCCCAGAGAGCCACACCCAAGAAGCCTTAAGGAAGTGGTCTGTGGTTGGGTTACAGCTGGGTTTTATACACTTCAGGAAGACAGTAATTGCATACATCTAACGTCATAAATCAATACATGAAAGGTGTGGGGTTAAAGTTTAAAAACTGTTTGATTTGTAATTGGTTAAAGAAATGAAGCTGTTTCTAAAGATTTGGTATGTTTTTAAGTTAAGGAAGTCTGTTAATCAGAGGTAAATAAGACATAGACTCAAAAGCTCTGTTAAGTAAGTTAAGGACCTTCAGGTTTCTCTGGCATAGCCTTAGGCTTGTTAAGGAGTTACAAAATATCTCTAAGAAGGGAAGAGGGCAAGAAGCAGCAGGTGTGACCTTCCTTCTCACAGGCAGCAACTGAGTGTTGGGCTATTTCTGGGGTCCCTTGGGCCACCAGAGGGTCCATTTAGTCAACTGGCTTAAGATTTTATTATAGTGCACAGAATTCTCACTCTCTAGCACAGCTGTGATGGAGAGCAAGCAATCAATTCATATTTATTGAATGTTCATACTGAAATTGTTTGCAATATCCTGGCAGGCTACTTCTCCAGTTCTTCCCACGGCTGGCTCATCCATAAAAACCTCAGCACAAAAGGGACTTCCCTTCAGTTACTCTTTATGTTTGTTTGTTTTCCCAAACAGCTATAATCCCAATCTGTCATCATCTTGTTTACTTGTTTATGATTTGTCTCTCTCCCTGCTGGAGTCCTAACTCCCTAAAAGCAGGAACTACTTCTGGAGAAATAGAAGCTGCTATTTCTCCAGCCAAATGGTATGACTCACAGAGTGTAGAGGTTCATAAAATGTTTACAAAATGAGTTAACAAATGGTGAGAAAAAAATGGAAAATAACAGGCATACCTGATTATATTGTACTTTGCTTTTTTATGCCTCAAGATACTGTGTTTTTTTACAAATTGAAAGTTTGAGGCAACCCCATGTCCAGCAATTGTATAAGTGACATTTTTCCAATAGCATGTGCTAGTTTTGCATCCCTGTGTCACATTCTGGTAATGCTCACAGTACTTTGAACACTTTCTTTTTTGTTTTTTTTTTTTTTTGAACACTTTCATTATTATAATATCTGTTACAGTGATATCTATGATCACTGATTTTGATTGCTTCCCTATTTCTTGAGATAATGATAGTGAAATTAGGCCAGTAAGTATTCTCACAATAGCCACTAGGTGTTCAAGAAAAAGGAAGAGTCCCCTGTCTTTGAATCAAAAGAGAGTCCCACTTTGAATCAAAGAGTCCTACTCTTTGAATCAAAAGCTAGAAAAGATTAGTGGGCAAAGCATATTGAAAGTGGAGATAGGCAAGAAAGCTAGGCTTCTTGTGCCAATCACTTGATATAATATGAATCCAAAGAAAAAATTCTTGAAGAAAAATAAAAGTATTACTCTAGTAAACACATGAATGATAAGAAAGAAAAACCGTTTATTTTCTCATCTGGAGAAAGTTTTGGTGGTCTGGCTAAAAGAAACCAGCTACATATTCCCTCCATCCAAAGCCTAATACAGAGCTGAGTCCTTACTCTTTTACGAAGAGCAAGAGTGGTAGGAAACCATAGAAGAAAAGTTTGAAACTAGCAAAGGTTGCTTCATGAGATTTAAAGAAAGAAGCCATCTTTCATGTCATAAAAGTGCAAAGTGATGCAGCAAGTGCTGATGCAGAAGCTGTAGGAAGATCTAACTAAGATCCTTCATGAAGGTGGCTACACTGAACAACAGATTTTCAATGTCGATGAAACAGTCGTCTATTGGAAGAAGAGACCATCTAAGACTTCGTAGATAGAGAAGTCAATTCCTGGCTTCAAAATTTCAAAGGACAGGCTGACTCTCTTGTTAGGGCCTAATGTAGCTGATGACTTTAAGTTGAAACCAGTGGTCACTTACCATTATGAAAATTCTAGAGCCCTTAAGAATTATGATAAATCTACTACTCTAACTGGGTTCTATAACTGGAATAACAAAGCCCGGGCGACAACACATCCATTTACAGCATAATCTGCTGTATATTTTAAGTCCACTGTTGAGACCTACTGCTCAAAAAAAAAAAAAGAAAGAAAGAAAAAAGTTTTCTTTCAAAATATTACTGCTCATGTACAATGCATCTACTTGTCCAATAGCTCTGCTAAAGATGTACAGGAAATTGATGTATTTGTATGCATGCTAAAACAATATTCATTCTGAACCCCATGGATCAAGTAGTAATTTCTACTTTCCAGTCTTATGCATTAAGCAACAATCTCTGGTCAGGCACAGTGGCTCACACCTGTAATCCTAGCACTCTGGGAGGCCAGGGAGGGTGGATCACTTGAGCTCAGGAATTCAAGACCAGCCTGAGCTAGAGTGAGACTTGGTCTCTACTAAAAATAGAAGGAAAAAAAAAATACTAGCCAGGTGTTGTGGCAGGCACCTGTATTCCTAGCTTCTTGAGAGGATGGGGCAAGAGGATCACTTAAGCCCTGGGGTTTAAGGTTTCTGTGAACTATAACACCACAGCTATCTAGCCTGAGGCAATAGAGTGAGACTCTGTCTCAAAAATATAAACAACAGTCACTATCTGTCATAGATAGTGATACCTCTGAAGGATGTAGGCAAAAAATTAATAAATTAAAAAGATTATGAAAAGGGGCTCAGCTCCTATAGCTCAGCAGCTAGGGCACCAGCCACATACACCAAAGCTGGTGGGTTTCAATCCCAGCCCAGGCCTGCCAAACAACAACTACAAAAAATAGCCAGGCGTTGTGGCAGGCCCTTATAGTCCTAGCTACTTGGAAGGCTGAGGCAAGTGAATCACTTAAGCCCAAGAGTTTGAGGTTGCTGTGAGCTATGATGCCACAACACTCTACTCAGGGTAACATAGTGAGACTGTCTCAAAAAACCAAAATTCTGAAAAGGATTCACCATTCTAGATGCCATTAAGAACATTCATGATTTGTGGGAGGTCAAAATATCAATACCAACAAGAGTTTGGAAGAAGTTAATTCCAACATCGTGGATAAATTTGAGGATTTCAGGACTTCAGTGCAGGCAGTAATTGCAGATTCAGGGGAAATAATAAGAAAACTGGACTTAGAAGTGAAGTCTGGGCTAGGCATAGCGGTGAGTGCCTGCAGTCCCTGCTACTCAGAACGCTAAGGCTGAAGGATCCCCTGAGCCCAGGAGTGTAGATCCAGCAAGACCCTATCGCTAATGAATAAATAAATATTTTTTTTAAAAAGGAAAGTATCTTCATTATATGCTGCAGGCTGCTTCTCCCACCCTCCCCAAAAAAAGAAGGAAAAAAAAGAAGTGGGGGCAGGGCGCAGTGGCTCACGCCTGTAATTCTAACACTCCAGGAGGCTGAGGCAGGTGAGTGTTCTGAGCTCACGAGTTCGAGACCAGCCTGAGCAAAAGTGAGACCTCATCTTTACTAAAAATAGAAAAACTTAGGCAACAGGATCGC